ACAGACAGACAGACTCACACAGAGAGAGAAAGAGAAAGAAAGGAAGAAAGAAATAAAGAAAAAAAGAGAGATGAAAGAAAAAAAGGAAAAAGGGACGAGAGAAAAAAGGAAGGAGAGAGAGAGAGAAAGAAAGAAAGAAAGAAAGAAAGAAAACACATGTCCATGGTCCCTGCGTGCTCCTCTCTTGCTGCCCTATGCCATCCTCCAGCTCCCACCCATCCCATGCCTCACCTGGTCCACCTGGGAACAGCACAGCACAACCTCATCAACAGCTGGGTGAGATGGAGAAAGAGCTGTTCCAGCTGCTGCTACCACCTCACCCCACCAGCATCAGGGCTCTCTGCTGTTTTGGAGCCAGAGGGAGTGATAGCAAAAATATTCTGCTGTTGCTATGCAACAGTTACATCCGCTGTCGGAGGGCTTTCTTTCGTCACTCCTGCCCCGCAGATCACTTGCTTGGCAGTGGCTGCCTCTTCCTCCTCCATCTGCCGCTTCGATCCTGCGGCCCCGCCACACGCTGCCTGGTCCCCATTTCAAAGGTGGCAGTTCTGGAGGCCTGCAGCTCTGCCACTGAGTTTCAGTATATTGCCAGCCGGGCCTGTTTCAGTGCCTAGAACTTTTGGGGATATTACCTTGGCATCTGCTTTCTAGCTCTGTTGCATATCTCTGTCGCTGCATACAGAGCAACAAAAGAAGTTTGTGGGACTAAAAAAAATAGTTCAATCAGACCTTGCTCTGATTGAACTTTTTCTTTAGTCCCACAAACTTTTGCTGCCCTGCACGCAGCAGCGGAGAAACACAATGGAACTGGAAAGCAGGTTAATGAAAGAATGCTTTGGGGAAGTGAGGGGAGCTGGGCAGTGGTGCTCTAGGCTCTCCTGTTCTACGGTGGTGGAATTAACGTGAAGGAGCTGGAAAGCTGGTGGCAAACATCCCGAGGGCTCCAGGTGCTAAAACATCTATTGAAATGCAGCGGCAGAGCTGCAGGCCTCCCGAGCTGTCACGTTTGAAACAGCAGAAAGGGCCAAGGCAGTGCAAGGTGGTGCCACAGGACTGAAGCAGCAGGGGAGGAGGAGGAGGTAGCAGCCGCTGGGTAGGTGATCTGTAGGGTGGCGGCAGTGGGTGTGTGTGTGTGAAGAAATCCCCTACTCTGGCAACCACGGCTGATGCACAGCAGCGACGGAGGCCTTTCGCCATTACTCCCCCTTGGCTCTGAGACAATGGAGGGGTAACCAGGTAAGGGGACCAATGTCACCCACCCATCCTCACCCACCATAGCACCCATCCTCACCCACCATAGCATGGCAGTCTGGCTCAGGAGGGGAATGACAGGGTGGGCAGCCGGGTCACTGAATGGGCTTGGGAAGGTCACAGAACAAGGAGTGGCCTGGCTACGGGAGCACTGAGGTGCGCATGTATGGGGGCACTTGCCTTGCCTCACGTCACCTCGTGGTGGTGCCGCATGTCCTCCTGCCCCACTGCGGCTGCAAGCAACCAGATAGTGGGATGGCATGGACAGGGCTTAATTGGGGCTTATTTGGGGGTAGGGGTTATATTAGGTGCAGGTGTAAAAATCGGGCTAGGGCTTATTTTCAGGGTAGGTCTTTCCTCCAGGGAAACAGTATGATCTCCCCTCCACCGATTCTGCTGTTGTATTTCTCCCCTCCTCCGATTCTACTGCTGCGTTTCTCCCCTCCACCCATTCTGCCACCACTGATTTCTCAGCCACCATTTCCCTTTGTTGGATGGTTGCTCCAGGCCCTTTGTCCTCCACCACATGAGCCACTGGGAAGGATTGCCAGGCTAGCAGGAGGCGGGTGGTAGTGATCTGCTGGGGAGGCAATGTTGATCAAGTCCTCCACCTGGGGCAGGTCACTGGAGAGAGCTGCCAGCTGAAAGCTCACAGTGGGAGGGCTGTGGTAATTGAGATGCTTCTAGTTTGCTTCGCCCTGGGATGACTGGCTGCCCACTCAAGCCAGACAGCCTGGATTGGAGTATGGGTCTAGGCAATTACCGAACATACTGTAACCCACCGGTTTGCTGCCTCCAACATCCTCCCTTCTTGTTCACTGTTCAACCGCTGGTTCACTGCTCCCAGTCGCCTCTTTTCCAGCATTGAGCTGCTTAGTTGGGCTCCTGAGTGAGATTTATTCTCTGTTGCCGGCTGCCTCCAACTCAGCGTGCAGTCATTCATTTGCTGCACTGCTATTTTGCTGGCGTTTTCCTTCTTGCCCCAAATTTCTTCTTTTCCTTTATATCATCGATCTTCCTTATTTAACTTTCTGCTCCTTTTTTCTCCATTCCCCCCCTCTTCTTATATTTCCCACTTAATTTAGTAACTTTTCTTCCCGTGATCTGATACTGCTCCCTTTGCTGCCACCATTTTAACTCATTGGTCTGTAAGAGAACAGTATAGGAATCCTCCATCTTGTCAGGACTTTCACTTTTTGACCCATTTCCAGACATCTTTTGATTAGCTACTTGACCAGCTGTTGAGGAAAGATGCTGGAGGAAATGCATTGTTTCAAGTACCATCAACACACAGCATAAGTAAATATTTTGTTTAGAGAATATAAAGAAGCTCCTTCCCCATGGCACCTAATCTCCTTTACCTAATGAGAGGAAAATACTGAAAACCTGTTTACAATTCCCGTGTAAATAGACTCCATGTAAATAGAGATACAAACTATGCACAATATCCCCAGAGTGGGATGATGACCTTCGGTTATTAGAGGGGTTTATAAGAGGTCCTAAGCTTGTATCTTGTCAATTTGCAACATACCTTTTTCTTGGACTTGAAAACATTACAGCGGAAGATGTTACTGGAGCCATCTCTTGCAATATAACTGAAGATCTTCAGGTCTTGGGAATCGTGGGACACATAAAATATCCTGCAAAAATAGCAGAACTATATATACAATAATACATGACACATAGGAAACAGGCTATTCTGTCACTGTCTTGGAGAAAAGCAAGCCAAGTCAAGGTATGGGTTCTCATTGATTGACTCATTAATACTGGCAAATACAATCATATCTTTCCATTATTACCATTTTGCAATTTATTCCTTTCCTTTAGTCTATCATTTACACGTTATTGTTTAACCAGATACTTTATTATTCAGGGTATGTTATTACCACCTGCTAATATGATTAATACACTGTAATAATATTCCAATGCATTCGGTTTAGATTGACACTGAGCCGAGGTGGCGCAGTAGTTAGAGTGCAGTACTGCAGGCCACTTCAGCTGACTGCTATCTGCAGTTCGGTGGTTCAAATTTCACCGGCTCAAGGTTGACTCAGCCTTCCATCCTTCCGAGGTGGGTGAAATCAGGACCCAGACTGTGGGGGCAATATGCTGACTCTGTAAACCGCTTAGAGAGGGCTGAAAGCCCTATGAAGCGGTATATAAGTCTAACTGCTATTGCTATTGCTATTGCTATTGCTATTGCTATTGCTAAGATGGATTGACTATATTCAAAATAAATATGAGACTAAGACTCTCCAGATAG